GGAGTCGGGCGAGGGTGGGAGTGATGGGGTCACGGAGCTTGGTGCGCGAGAGTATACGAGAGTTTTGGATGACCTGCAGCTTGTGAAGGGAAGAATTGGGAAGGCCGAAGAGGAGGGAATTTCCATAATCGAGCCTTGATGTGACAAATGGGTGGGTGAGGGTTTCGGCAGCCTGAGGGGTGAGACAATGGCAGAGTCTGGCAATGTTGCGGAGGTGATGGTAGGCAGTGCCGGTCATAGTGCGGATGTTGGGGAGAAAGGACAGTTCAGGGTCAAACAAGACACCCAGGTTCCTGACTGGCTTAGTGAGGTTGAGTGTGCAGCTGTGGAGGCTTATGCTGCCAGCGACCGAGGTGCAGAGGCGCTGGCGCGAGCCAATCAGGAGGGCCTCGGTCTTGCTGACGTTCAGTTGGAGAACGTTGTCCCTCGTCCAGGACTTGATGTCGGACAGGCAGTCGGTCAGGACCCCAGTAGTCCTGGAGTTGAGGGTGGAGGCAGAGAGATAGAGTTGGGTGTCAACCATATACATGTGGAAATTTACCCCATATCTGCGGATGATGTCACCAAGGGGGAGCATGTAGAGGATGAAGAGGAGGGGACCGAGACAGAGCCCTGAGGAATACCCCACGAGGCGGTGCGAGGGCTGAAGGAGAAGCTGTTAGCTGAGACAAAGCGGAGGTGGTGTGAAAAGTAGGACCTGAACCAGTCAAGGACAGAACCTTGGAGGTTGAGGTGGGAGGAGACATGATGGAGGAGGATTGAATGATCCACAGTGTCAAAAGCGACGGGGAGGTCAAGGAGGACGAGGAGGCAGAGGGAGCCCTGGTCACACATGGTCAGGATGTCATGTGGGCAGCACAGAAACCTGATTGTAGGGGCTCATGGAGGGAGTGGGAGGAGAGGAAAGAGCGAAGCTGGGAGGCAACGGCTCTCTCACGGACCTTAGACAGAAAAGGGAGTTTGGAGATGGGCCGGTAGCTGGATAGCTGTGTTGGGACAAGGGAAGGTTTCTTCAAGGTAGGGGTGATAGTGGCTGTTTTGAGGGGGGTAGGAACAGGGCCAAATGACAGAGAGAAGTTGATGATGTCGACGAGTAGTGGGGCAAGAAGATGGAGCTGGGATTTAAGTAGGGGGGTGGGGATGGCGTCCAGGGATCAGGTAATGAGCTTCATGGAGGATATGGTGGTGATGATAAAGGGGGCGGGGGTGATAGGTTCAAAAAATTGTGGAAGGAGGGATGGGTAGTGGTCAGAGTATGGGGTGGGGGGTGGAGGGGGTGGAAGTTGGGGGGCAGTGGCAGCTGAGCGGATTCCTTCGATTTTGGACTCGAGGAAATCCAGCATTTCTTCACAGTGAGAGTCAGAGGAAAGGATCTACGAGGTGTGGCGTGGCAGGCAGAGGAGCCGGTTAGTGGTGGAGAACAGGAGCCTGGGATTGCCCTTCACCTCCAGGATTAACCTGGAATAGAAGGACGATTTTGCCTGGGCGAGAGAGGAGCGGTAGGTTTTGATGAGGTCCAGCCAGATGTGCCAGTGGACCGTTAGGCCGGATTTGAGGCAAGTGCGTTCGGCAGCCCGCACCTGGCCCTTAAGTGAGCGGAGGTGGCTGGTGAACCAGGGTGCTGATCGGGAATAGGAGGAAGTTCGGGAGGTGAGGGGGGCAAGTGCATCGAGTTGGTGGAGAGGGTGCTGTGGAGGAAAGTAAATGCAGAGGATGGGTTGATGCGGAAGGTAGGCCAGAGGGGGAGGAATTCAGAGGACTCCAGGGCAGCGGAAAGGGATTGCGGGGAGATCTTTTTCCAGGGGCGGTAGGAAATGGTAGTAGGTTTCGAGGCAGTGGGGAGAGGGATATAGGAGTTGAGGGAGATGAATTGGTGGTCAGAGATGGCCTTGCCGGTGATGGTGATATCCGAAATGCTGAGGCCTCGGGTGATCACAGGTCGAGCGGGTAGCCGTGAACATGGGTAACAGAGTGGATGTGGAGGGAAAGGTTGAGAGAGGAGAGGAGAGAGAAGTCTGAGGAGGTGGAGCAAGAGGGGTGAAGTGGTGGTTGAAGTCACCTAGGATGATGAGGCGGTCGGAGCAGAGGCAGAGGGAAGGTAGAAGGGTGGCGATAATAATAATAATAATAATAATAATCCTTGCATTTGATATAGCGCTTTTCACGTCGGGAGGACGTCCCAAAGCGCTTCACAGAACACAATGTAAAGTGAATTGACTGTATATGATGTCAGAGATGAAGGTGGGGGAGGATTTGGGGGGGCGGTAAATTAGGAGAATTTTTCGTGAGAGATGGGAGGGGTGGCAGAGTGTAAGGTGTTCAAAGGAGAGGAATGAGCCAGTGGAGTAGTGACAGCTAGGTCTACTACTAGGTAAACAGAGGTGTTTCGAGTAAGTTTGGAGTAAGGAAACTTGCCTGAGGTTAGCACTGCGGATAGCACTGTATTTTCATGCGTTTGAAATAACTTACATTGTTTAACATATTAACAAGCCTGAACTCTCAGCAGTTTGGAGACTATTACTTAAGGTGATGGGTTTCTGCGTGTGCAGACACTCTGCTGACATTAAAAAGGTTTCATCTCTTATCTGTAAAGTGCCCTGCAAAAAAATGGTAGAAGCAGATTCGATAATAGTTTTCAAAAGGGAATTTTATATAGGTACTTAAAAAGGAAAAATTTCCTAGAGGAGATCAAAATGGTTGGAAACTTACTGGAAATTATCCCCACCATTATATGGGGTGAAGAACTGAAGGAGAAAGAATTCGGAGGAATCTATGGTGTTGGCAAGGCAGCAGTAAATCCACCGGCACTCGCTATTCTCAGTCAACACACCAGAAGGTGCGACACAGACCATAGCCTCAGTTGGCAAACGCACTGTGTATGATACTGGAGGCCTGAGCATTGCAGGGCTATGGGGTAACAGCGGGCGAGTGGGACAAGTTGGTAGCTCTTCCAAAGTGCCCATAGGCATGATGAATAGCCTCCTTCCGAGCTGTAAAATTCTATGATTCTATTATCCCTCTCTAAAAACTGCCTCACCTGATTCTTCATTTATGAACTCTGGTAAAAATGTGAATCCATTGTAATGCTCAAGCACTGTGACAAAGAGGAGAGAAGCTAGGATTATTCTCCTTGGAGCAGAGAAGGTTAAGAGGAGACTTAATAGAAGTTTTCAAAATTATGAGGGGAATCGATAGGGTGAACAAGGAGAAACTATTTCCACTGCCGGGCGGATCGGTAACCCAAGGACACCGATTTAAAAGTTAAAAGAGAGAGGGGATGTGAGGAGAATTTTCTTTCACACAGCGAGTTGTTTGGATTTGGAATGAATTGCCTGAAAGGGTGGTGGAAGTCGATTCAATAACAACTAAGAGAGAAGCAGATAATTATTTGGGGAGATTGCATGGCTATGGGGAGAGAGCGGGGGAATGGGATTGATTTACGTAGTTCTTTTCAAAGAACCGACACAGACACGATGGGCCGAATGGCCTCCTTCTGTGCTGTATAATTCTATGATCCTCTTGAAGGGGTGGAGGACACAGGAAGTAACACAGCTATGAGCTGCTAAACTCTCGCTATTTGCCAATTTCACATCTACTGCTCTTTCACCCAACCAGAGATACAGTGAAGAGTTCAAAGAAACACAGTTAACAAACATATGGGCCTTACTGAATGTGAAGAGCTTTGCTCACCAGTATTGGATTAATCTTCCCTTCCTCTCAAAGAATCAGGAGTCAGTCAGTAATTACTCACTCGCCTGCATATCCGGCTCATAGAAATAACACACTGTCACATTGGGAACATTAGCAGGTTCCCCTCCCACCTGCTGCCAAGCAGCAGCTCGGCATCAGGAAGAGGATTTGGCATCTTCCCAGCTCAGAACACCAGCCTGAATGACAATCTGCAGGGCACACCGCATGGGTCACTCCAGAGCCTCAGACATGTAATGTGCAACCTTCACTTCTCATCAATTCTCTTTCCTATTTCTCTGAGCGTAACATGTTGTACACAGACATTCAGCTCATACAAAATGTTCCTTTCAATCACTTCAAGTAAACGGCAGACAAACTCTGCAATTAAACCTCCTCCCAAACTTATAACAAACACAAAGGATCTCAGAGACTCTCAGCAATCTCATGACAACATCCCAATCATAGTTATTAAGCACTTCACACAACCATTTCCAGCCTGCAACTCACTCTTATGATTTTATATATAAAGCACGCAGACTCCTCAATTAGATTCCAGCCTGCAACTCACTTCCAGGCAATTATTCTATATGCAACTACACAACCCCCTGAATTATTCCAGACATGAACCACTCAAACTCCTGAATCAGATTCCAACCTGCACCTCACTCCGAGGGATTAATTCGTCTAAACTGCTCAAACCATTGGATTACTGTGGTCTTTTACAAATCACAGCCTTTGTCTGTTTGTTACCATACAATACTGTTTTTTAAAATTTATGTTATTTACCAAAAAGGCAGGACCTCATGAACCAGCATTGTGTGTCTGTGGGGAGGGGGGGGGGGCGGGGGAGGGGAAGAAGCAATGGTCTCACTGGATTGGGGAATACTCAATTTACTTTCTGTGCTTGAAGCTGTTGATTTAATAGTAATAATCCTTGCATTTGATATACAGGTCAGGCAATTGCGCACAGCAGTGTCCCACAAACAATCGCGGATTGAGTGACCAAATTATATTTTTTTTTGAAGGGATTATTATCCCCATAAAGCGACCCGCCAATCAATTAATAACCAGGTTCCTACTTGCTGCTAGGCAAACAGTTGCATGTGGAGTAAGGAAACTTGCCTAAGATTTCAACCCGCCCAGGAATCGAACTTGGGTCCTCTCACTTGTGAGGAGAGTGCTCTGACCAATACACTATGGGATTCCATGTTTACTATGATTTTTAACTGGTTCATTTAGCAAGTGTCCTGGAAAAAAAACAACCATTTACCTCATCATTTACAGCACAGACTTTCGTCATTCAAGTAATAATCAGATCAGGATTTTTTATGTTACACTGAAAAGCTAATTACAACTTAATTCTACTATCAAACCAAACCAGTGCTCATCAGTAGTCTCAACAGTGGAACTATTTGAAATAGTTAGTTAATTCTTAATATTGAAAAAAGAGCGACAGCCAGGTTCAGTTGGCAGAACTCGAGCTTTTGGGTCAAAATGTTGTGGGTTCATGCTTAACATCAAAATTTGAGCTCAGTCTGGGCTTACACTCCAGTGTAGGACTGGGGAAGTCACAACATTGTTGAGTGACATGTTAAATCAAAGTGCCAATCAGCCAATTCAGCTCTTTGTCTGCTCAGTCCAAACTGACCCATCTCTGCTCAGCAACTCCGAGCAGAGACCAGTCCCCAAAGTTCAAGCAGAGGCTAGTGTTGTAACTCCAAGCAGAGACCACAGTCCTGCCATTTCAATCAGAGGTCACCATCCTGTAACTTCGACCAAAGGCCACTGAACTGCAAAGCCAAGCAGAGACTTTAGTCCCTGCAACAGGTCTTAAATCCCCACCATTCTGGGAAGCTAGGAAAGCGGGAAATCCTCAATATTCCTACAGGCAGGTGGAACCTATAGGCTCATCAATAATTGGCATGAGGCAGGGCGTGCGTCAGGTGGATCGCTGCATGGAAACATAAATCCAGTCAAGCTGATCAAGAGAACATTTCCAATAATAGGAATTTACTTCCAATCTGTGAACGTGGCTTTTATTTGCTCCACAGCAGAGCTTACACAGATCACTGATGCAGAACCCAGTGCTGGTCAATAACTGAGGTCACTGGCAAAGGCCACTGGTGCAGGTCATTCACACAGGCCACTGGCACTGGTCACAGTGGTGTAGTTCAATAGCATGGGCCACAGGCACAGGTCACAGGCGTAGCTTATATGGCTTAGCACACATGTTAAATGACAAGACAATATATTTAGTTAATAAAATCTAGATTTAGATGTTCTCCATGGTCTGCACGTACATTGTGCCCCATCAAAACTCTCATTCCTCATGCTGAGAAAAGTTTCTAATCTTCTGTCTGTCGCCTGAAAGTTGCCTCAAAACAAGGCCTTGTTAAAGAACATGGCATCTGTCCTGTCCTCTCTTGTCCTCATGTCCTCTGTCTGCCTTAAGGTAACACTTGAGGAGATTTTTCTTCCTGTGTTGTCCTTCTCAGTCCTTGCTTTCACGTGGCTTCAAGTCCATCAGGCAGCTTCAGTGTGGGCTGCCTTCGATGCTGTTTCTCCACCAGGGCCCTCCTCAGGTTGCTCTGGGAAGTACAAAATCTGGTGAAGTGCGCTTCGGACTGCACTTGTGTCATTGGTGTCTGAAACACACATAAACAAATAAGCGACCAGCAGTTGAAATGGATTCAGGCAACCACAACAAATAACATTTTGTTGTTAATCACATTTGACAAATCACATTTGTATAGTGCCTTTCACGTCAGGAGGACGTCCCAAGGCTCAGACAGACACTAGTGAATATTTTGTTTACATAAAGGGGCATCTGCAGCTGGAACAAACTACCAGGAAGGATGGTAGAGGTCAAGAGGCTGTATTCTTTTAAGAAAAACAACCTTGAGTTTCTCAAGGGAAGATAGGAGGGTAGTTGTACTTCCAGTAGATCGAATGGGCCAAATGGCCTTCTCTATCCATACCATTTGTGATCTTCTCATGTTATTTTAGTTGCTATGCATCTCTGAGTTTCAGACCAGCTTCATTATCTATGTCTGATCTCATCCTGTGTACATCTTTCTCTGTCCATGTATGCTACTGTGTGTCAGCTTGGCTCAGCTAACAGCACTCTCCCCTCTAAATCAGAAGGTTGAGGGTTCAAGGCCCAAATCAGGCCTCAAATTTACATAATCTAGGATGACACTCCAATTTATTCTCGGAGATGCCGTCCTTCAGATGAGACATGAAACCGAGGCCACATCTGCCTGTTCAGGTGGACATTTAAGATCTACTCGAACAGAAGGGAGTCTCTCCCTGTGTCCTGATAGACGTATGGGTAAATACTGTGCATACAAGTGTCTTTCTGTCTGTTTGTTACATCTCTTTTTTGTATGTTTGTTTCTCTATCCTTCTTGTGGGGGAGGAGTGGGGAGGTAAGCGGGGTCTCCTAGGAGTTTAACTGGCACCAAGGTGACATGCCTGGCAATAGTTGCACATATCCAATCCATTAATATTAAATTAATATTTGCAGATAATAATCCTTGCATTTGTTATTGCGTCTTATCACGTCAACAAGACATCTCAAAGTGCTTCACACAATTTGATGTAAAGTGTAGTGACTATGTATTTGTAGGCAAAGTTGGTAGCCAATTTGAACATGGCAATGTACCAGAAGAGCCAATTTTATGACCAATTTTATTTGGGGGATTGTTGGCCTTGGAGAAAGCCCCTTCTCTTCTCTGGAGAAACTCACTTCTTTTTTCAAATAGAGCCGTGGGATCTCGACTGTCCACCTGAACAGAAGGCTGGTTTAACATCTCATATGAAAGGTGGCAGCTCCAGCAATGCAAAGAAACTCCAGCGCTGTATTAGAACACCAGCCTCAAATGTGAATTCAAAGATCTGACTTGGAGCTTGAACCCACAGCCTTCTTCCTCAAAGGCTCAACTAACTGAGCCAGACTGACTTTTTTATATCAAGGCAAAGGAGGCAAAGCAGGCAATGAGAGATAGATAAAGAGAGCATGCGTGAGACAGACACACACAAGGATATAGATATATGCACAGACAGAGCTCATGGATAGGAGAGTGCGAGAATGAGACACACAGGCCCGAGAGAAAGAGAGAGACAAATACAACCACAACAAAAACATTTGTATAGTACCTTTCACGTCAGGAACGTCAGGAATCCTCACCCAAGCTGGTGGTTGGGATCAGGAAAGGGTGGAGGGCGGGGAGGGTTAGGGTAGCAGGGTGACTGAAGGCACAGTCGAAGAGGAGCGTCTTGAGATAGGTCTTGAAACAGGCAAGGGACGGGGCGAGGTGGAGGGATAGAATTCCAGAGGGTCGGGGTAGAGAGGCTGAAGACCCGCCTGCCAATGGTGGGGCGGGCAAGGCGAGGAAATGAAGCAGGCCTGAGCCCACTGAGTGGAGGGGGTGGATAGGTTGGTAGGGGTTTAGGAGGTTACGGAGGTAGGGAGGAGCAAGGCCGTGGAAGGCTTTGGAGTCGAGGACCAGGATCTTGAACTGTATCCTCTGAGTAATGGGGAGCGAGTGGAGCCGGGCGAGGATCATGCTGATAAGGTCGCGGAGCCTGCTGTGGGAAAGGACATGGGTTGCAGAGTTCTGGATGATCTGCAGCCTGTAGAGGGAAGAGTTGGAGAGGCAGGACATTTGAGTAGTCGAGCCTGGATGTGATGAACGCGTGGATGAGGGTCTCGGGGGCCTGCGGTGAGAGACAGTGGCAGAGGCGTATAGTTTTGCAGAGATGGGGAAAGGCGGAGCAGGTCATTGCATGTATGTGGGGAATGAAGGACGGTTGATGGTGGAACAGGATGCCAAGGTTCCGTATTGGCTCCGTGAGGTAAAGAGTGCATCCATGAACGTTGATGCTGTCAGCGCCTGAGGGCTGGAGGCGCTGACAGGAGCCAAGCAGGAGGGCCTCAGTCTTGTTGACATTCAACTGGAGAAAGTTAGCTCTCATCTAGGACTTGATGTCCGACAGGTCTTCTGTGAGGGCAGCAGTGGTCCTGGAGTCGAGGGTGGAGGCGGAGAGGTAGAGAGGGATGTCATACGCATACATGTGGAAACTGACTCCATGTCTATGGATGATGACACCAAGGGGGAGCATGTAGAGACATACGGAGACACAGAGAGAGAGAGAGAGAGAGAGAGAGAAAGAGAGAGAGAGAGACACACACACAATGATAGAGACGGGCACAGATAGTGAGAGCAACATACATGCACGGATAGAGAAAGAACAACAACAAAATTACATTTATAGAGCGCCTTTCATGTCGGGAGGATGTTCCAAAGCGCTGAACAGTCAGGTGTCGGGGCCCGAGCATGGGGGAGGGGTGGTGTAGGGGTGAGGGAAGGCAGAGAGGTGGAAGGGCGACCGAAGGCACAATCGAAGAGAAGGGTCTTGAGACCAGCCTTGAAGGAGGCAAGGGAGGAAGCGAGGCGAAGGGACCGTGGGATGGAGTTCCAGAGTTTGGGAGCAAAGAGGCTGAAAGCCCAGCAACCGATGGTAGGGTGGGTCGAGCGGGAGACATGGAGCAGTCGGGAACCCACTGAACGGAGGGAGTCAGCAGGTCAGAGATGTAGGAGGGGGCAAGGCCATGGATCGCCTTGAAAGTGAGGATGAGGATTTTGAATTCAATCCTCTGGGGGATGAGGAGCCAGTGGAGTCGGGCGAGGGTGGGGTGATAGGGTCGCAGAGCCTGGTGCGTGAGAGTACACGAGCTGCAGAGTTTTGGATAATCTGCAGCTTGTGAAGGAAAGAGTTGTGAAGGCCGATGAGGTGGGAGTTCCCGTAGTCGAACCTTGATGTGACGAATGCATAGGTGAGGGTTTTGGCAGCCTGAGGGGTGAGGCAGTGGCGGAGTCTGGCAATGTTGCACAGGTGGTGGTAGGCAGTGCCGGTCATGGTGTGGATGTGGGGGAGAAAGGACAGTTCAGGGTCGAACAAGACACCCAGGTTCCTGACTGGCTTAGTGAGGTTGAGTGTGCAGCTGTGGAGGCTTATGCTGCCAGCGCCTGAGGTGCGGAGGCGCTGGCGGGTGCCAACCAGGAGGGCCTCGGTCTTACTGACGTTCAGTTGGAGAAAGTTGTCCCTCGTCCAGGACTTGATGTCAGACAGGCAGTCGGTCAGGAAGCCAGTAGTCCCGGAGTTGAGGGTGGAGGCAGAGAGATAGAGTTGGGTGTCATCCGTACACATGTGGAAATTTACCCCATGTCTGCGGATGATGTCACCAAGTGGGAGCATGTAGAGGGTGAAGAGGAGGGGACCGAGGTCAGAGCCCTGAGGAACACCGCACAAGATAATATGTGTGCGCACACTCAGACACACACAAGGACAGAGACCGAAACACAGATAAGAGAGAAAGAGACACATATAAACAACAACAACAAATTCCACTTGTTTAGCGCCCTTCATGTCGGAAAGACATCCTAGAGCAATGGACAATCAGGAGTTTTGGACCTGAGCTAGGAGTTGGGGTCAGATGGGGAGGAGGGCCCGGGAGTGGGGGTAGGAGGGTGGCCGAAGCCACGGTCGAAGAGGAAGATCTTAAGATTGTGACTTGAAGGAGGCAAGAGAGTGGGAGAGTAGGGATTGCAGGATAGAGTTCCAGAGTGTGGGGGCAGAGATGCTGAATACCCAACTGTAGGGCGGGAAATGCGGGGCAGCCAAAGTAGGCCAGTGTATGCCGAGCGGAGAGAGCAGACAGGCTGATTGATATAGGGTTATGAGGTCGGAGAGGTAGGAGGGAGCAAGACCGTGGAGGGCCTTGAAGGTAAGGAGGGTTTTGTACTCGATTTTCTGAAGAATGGGGAGCCAATGAAACCGGGCAAGAACAGGGTTAATAGGTTTCTGGAGCCTGGTGCGGGAGGACATGAGCTGCAGAGTTCTGAATAATCTGCAGCTTATGGAGGGAAGAGTTTGGAAGTCCAGCGAACAGGCAGTTGGCATAGTCAAGCCGGGACTAAATGAAAGTAGGGATCAGAGTCTCGGTGGCAATGTTGTGGAGATGTGGCAAGGCGGAATGGGTCACGGCACAAATGTGGGTTTGGAGGATAGCTGAGGGTCGAAATGGACACGGAGGTTTGGGATTTGCTCAGTGAGGTGAAGAGTGCAGCCATGAATAGTGATAATGTCAGCGGCCAAGGTGAGGGAGCCAAGCAAGAGGGCCTCTGTCTTGCCAACGTTGAGTTGGAGGAAGTTAGATCTCGTCCAGGATTTGATGTCAGACAATTAGCCAGGATATCAACAGTCCTGGAGTCGAGGATGGAGGCAGCAAGATAAGAGTTGGGTGTCATCCGCATACATCTGGAAATTGACCCCATGCCTGCGGATGACATCGCCGAGCGGGAGCATATATAGATTGAAGAGGAGGGGACCGAGGACAAAGTCAAAAGTGTGGAGGGAGGGATGGGGGGCTTGGAAGGGGAGTGGGAGGTGGGGATGGGGTGCTAATAGAGGGGCTAGAGGCAGCAGAGTGATCCCCTCGACTTTGGACTCGAGGAAATCCATCATCTCCACGCATTTGGTGTTGGAGGAGAGGTTGGCAGAGGCATGGGAGGGTGAACGGAGGAGTTGGTTTATGGTAGAAAAGAGGAGTCTGGGGTTGTCCTTAGCTTCTAAACCACAT